GTAATGCTACAATTCTCCAAATCTGTTCCAATGAAGAAACAAACTCATCTACATCTTGAGGGTAAAGAGAATTTTCAGCAGTTCCTTTAAGTGTCTGCTGTAAATGCTAAATGCTACTGTGCTCATAATTCAGTTGTTTCACTCATAGTTTATGCATATTTTTCATTTTTTTTGTACTCGTTCATAAATGCTCTGTTACTAGTTCTTTGAATTCATCTCTAATACAGGCACCGTTGCTTAATGTCAATTAATAGAGTTGTGTGAGGACGAGGAGTTAAAGGCTGAGTGTGTGTGAGAGAGAGAGAGAGAGAGACTTCCATACACAGAGAGAGAGAGAGGGAGATACATTCCAGATGGTGGAATGATGAGGTGGGTTTCACTGGAACGTTAAACATTCCCAGGGATGTTTGCAGAGAGAAATTCTTCCTCTACTGTGAAGCAAGCATGTTTCCTTTTTATCCGATCCCTTCCTCTCCTCTTTCTCTCGCCATCTCTCTCCTTTCTCTTGGATTCAGACCGTCGCTATGATCACCTGCTGCAACTGTCCAAACCCTTCACACGAGTCTCTTCACTTTTCCTGACACACTCAGGGATTAAAGTTATGTCATGAATCAGCCATTCGTACGAATCAATTGAATGAATGATTCAGTGATAAAATCAGTGACTTGCAGCCACCTGCTGGCAGATTTAGTTTAATTTTTAGTGTATAATTTCAGTTATTTGAATCACATTTCTGTATTCAAAATATTATATTTAAAACATTAATCTCCACATGAATTCATCAGAAGTGGTTTGCCAATGGAGTACCAATGTCCCACCCACACTTCCTGCCTTCACTGTTGGGGATGAACAGCTGTCAGTAGTGCCATCTTTTAAATATCTGGGGAGTATTCTCGCTGAGGACTGTGGCATCGACAACGAAATCCAGAGACGTAGAGTCTTTCATAACAAGAATCTTCATCCCTCCACAAAGGTCGCTGTATACCAAGCGGTCTGTGTCACTACCCTGCTCTATAGCTGTGAAGCTTGGGTAACCTACAGCCGTCACATCAGGTCCCTAGAGCACTTCCATATAAGCTGCCTTCAGCGCATTCTGGGAGTTACCTGGCGTGATCGTGTGCCTCACACTGAAATACTTAAAAAGACCAACTGTAGAAGTATTGAGGCCATGATCACCCAGCGCCAGCTGCAGTGGTTGGGGCACGTGATAAGGATGCCCCCATGTCGACTGCCCCGCAGAGTGCTATACGGCCAGCTACATCATGGTCGACGTTCAGCTGGGGGGCCGAAGAAGCGATATAAGGATCAGATGAAGAACATCTTGAAGAAGTGTAAGATCAGACCCGAGGACCTGGAGGATGTTGCTGCTGACCGTACCATCTGGCAAAAGCTGTGTAGAGATGGGGTTCATACGCTGGAGATGGAGAGGACAATCAGAAGACAGCAGAAGCGAGCCAGGAGAAATACAGCCATGGCTGCCACCACTGCCATTACTACTACCATTACATACATATGCCCCACCTGTAATCGAGTGTGTGGGTCCAGGATAGGACTGTTTAGCCTTCAAAGATCTCACCGATAAAGGTGTGGACGTCGTCATCGGCTTCGATGGACAACCGAGAGAGAGAGAGAGAGTGTGTGAGTTGAAGAATAGCCGTGGTTGTGCCGCAGACAGAATCAATAGCAGTCTCAGTATGGGTGTTTCCGAGTCTGTTTGGATTTGCTAAGTAAAGTCTGCAGCTCACCTGCTCATGAACATTTTCTCGGCCCTTTAACCTCCTCCACACATTCCAGTTATTCCTTACATCTGGAGGGATGAACTGCTTTCGTTTTTTGTGTGAAT